ACACACACACACACTACTATATATATATATATATATATATATATATATATATATATATATATATATATGTATAGTGCAAAATTCATGAGTATAATATATATAGTCAGAATCTCATCAACCTGAATACAGGCATACGGACGATAAATCACACTGCATACTCCAAGTGAGACCCTCGTCAGTAAGCTTCTGCACCCTCACTTTGTAGCCTGTCGTGAGGTGCACTTCCTCCTGTCCATCAGTCCCATTCGTATCCGAAGGGACTGTCTCCACAAAAATTTTCGCCCCATTTTTGCTCATGTCCGCTAATGCTTTCGCGGTGTCTTTTTTTGTCAGTGGTAACTATTAAGCGATGTTGTTAAAGACGCTACGATAGAGTATTTGTCTACTCATCTGAGCACTTTCTGTGTCACGTCGTGTTCATCAGTGTACTGTGTACCGTGTGTGCATACCGCGAATAGGTTGAGATCACTGTTGTGTACAAATACATATGAAGACGCGAGAGAATATAATACCTTGCGATATATATATATGTATCTATGCAATACTGTGCAGTTTATATATTTAATTGTTCACTATGTGGGTCTCCAGATCCATAGAGAGATAACATATCAGCTCATAAAGCACTACAATTATTCCTCAAATACCGGTTAAATACACACTGCGCTCCATGTACGAGATATCACTCCCTCGCACTTCTCTTGTAGTTGAATATGCCGGTTTTGTAATGCTTTACATTGAAAGTTTTATTAATAAATCGAGTGTTATTGGTGTATGTCCCATGGATACCGGCCTGAAGAACCGTCATTTTTTTCAACTTTTTCTTTGCATATTCGATATTTTTTACAGCCAGAGAGAGAAGACTTGAGGGGAGCAAAGGGGGATGTTCTTTATGTTACTAATTACTAACTACACAGATATACCTGATGAAATATAAATAGCCACAACTAAATGTAAATACTTCATTACGTTTGAATATCTATACATAACGCTCTACATACATACAGGCCTGTACATCAAGCTTCACTAGCGTGTATACAGATGTTGTTTGCCAATTGCTTACGCCGTGCTACCCACGTACAAGCCAGCATTGTGCACACACCTACAGTAACAAATATCAATAGTCACTCTATACGCATACAAAGCATGGCAATGCACACATCAGCTGTGCGTAAGGTACAGCAGAGTATTACAAAAGGAGACAGGGAGCCAGGCCAGAAGCTTCTATTCACACCTGGACCATTGAATACATCTAAGGTGTGTGCGTTTATTCAAGTTGATATTTTGTGTAGTATATATATATACACACACACACACACACAC